ATGTGGGGATCAGTAGTGTAGCGGTTAGCTCGTTGCGCTACGAACCTGGCGATCCGAGTTCGATTCCCGCTCACGGCCAACACCGGTGACGATTATTTGAACCGGTCATTTGCCTTCCCTAGTTCGACTCAGCCTCAAATGAGTACCTGGTGTGGTGTGTAAACACCACCACTGGGGAGACAAATGCGGCCAGTTGTGGTACTTGCCACCCATCCCCTTTTGTGCCGTGCCGCCCTTCATAGGTGCTACCCGTTAACAGCACTTGCCCCAACAGTCTGTTCAGGCTATAGGGGGCTTATTTGCCTTTGCGTGCATATACACGTGTGTGTGTGTGTGTGCTTCAGGTACGGAGGAGAAGCCCAGATGCGTTTCTCCGGCATGCTGCCTCAGGCGGTCCCTCTGGGTTCCTCCTTCACCCCCTCGGCACAGAGTGAGAAACAAACAACTCCCCTCTTCCTCCCCAGCATCCGTGCACTCAGCTTTGTAGATGCACACGTTTGTACGTGTAGAAGTCCTCTGTTGATCCACTGCTGGATGAATGCCTCCCACATGTCCTTTGGTCATGTGGGAGTTGTTTGACCATGTTTCACCACACTGGACTGGTTCGGTTGTCACTCGCCACTGGCGTTAGCCATGGCCAGGAATTGAACTCGGGTGTCCGGGTTCGTAGCGCAGTGCTAACCCCCCACTATCCCTTCTCCCTTCCCCCCCTGGTTTGTGATGCTGCCTCCCAGAGACCATGCTGAACTTCGGTAGTCCTGTCGCAAGCTCCACTATGCTGCGGTCGCCTGCAGGAGGTCAGAATCAGAATCCTATGAGCTATATGAAGCTCTTGTTTCCACAGATATTTCAGTAGGGGCGAGTCAGAATGTTACAACAACAAAAATATAAAAACACGATGCGAGTGCGAAGTAATAGGAAAGGTAAGCAAAGCACTAAATATAAATACGTAAAATAGATTAAGGTATACAAGTTCAAATTGCATAAGTACACTAATTTCATCGTTCGTCTTTTACCCGTGAAATTTCTTTGATACACGTCGTTTCGATATTCGTGGCACTTTTGCAGAGCTCATGCCCGATGTAAACCACCGGGGTATTACTGTATTTAGTAAAAAATCACGGATGAGGCATGGGAAAATAACTACTTCACAGCAGAGGTCGCAACCGGGTACCCGATACCCGTACCCTACCCGATACCCGGCTACCCGTACCCGGCCGGGTACGGGTACCCGTTTGCGACCCTGGTGCGGCCGGGTATGGGTAGGCTGTGAGTCACTGGTGAGTCACCGTTTGTCACTCATTTTCCAAAGTCTTGTCTCTTCTCCCAATTCAAGTTCTAGAATCACCGCCACCCTTGCCTGCAACATGGCTTCATCCCAGAGGTCGCAATCGGTACCCGATACCCTTCACCCTACCCATACCGTTTGTCGTAGGGTAAGGGTCTGCCTGGGTGCTGTACCCGTTTGCGACCCTGGGCGCCGGGTGACGGGTAGGCCGTGAGTCACTGGTGAGTAACCGTTTGTCACTCATTTCCCAACGTCTTTCTCTTCTCACAATTCAAGTTCCTAGAATCAACCCACCCGCGCCTGCAACGTGGCTTCATCCCAGAGGTCGCAATCGGGTACCCGATACCCGGCTACCCGTACCCGGCCGGGTACGGGTAGCCGTTTGCTCGAGTGCTGTTCCCATTCTGGTTTTATGAGGTACATTGCGCTACACACCCGGCAACACGAGTTTTATTGCTGCTCACAGCCAGCATCGGTGATGAATATTTCAACTGGTCCTGGGCCTCTGCTAGGTCGGCTGAGCCTAAATGAATACCCGATGCCGTGTGTAAAACACAACAAGTAGTTGTAAAACTGATGTGTTAACACTGCCTGTCTTCCCCGTCACCGCCTCTCCCACCGCGCGCATTTCTTTCTCGTCAGTGTTGAGCCCTCAGCAGGCCGGCCTCGCTGCGCCCGGGACGGACGCGGCTGGTGCAGGGCTCGGCCCGGAGGTGGGTGTTTCTCGGGCCGGCACGACGGGGGTTGTCTCCTACCTCCTCCGCATCCTCCAGGTGAGGGAGGAGGGCGGGCCTCTGCGCAGGGTCACATGAGCCACCACGTGCGTCGTCATCGTTGTCGTCGTCGTCATATGTCATATTTGCCATCAGTGACATCGGTGATAATCATTTTTACTGATTATTGCCATTTGTCATCATCACAATCGTTATCAATTATGTTGAACTTCTGTCGTGCCCGTACGTATCCCAAACACGTGCTATCTTTATATTCATTTCCCCCATCACGATGATCGTGGTCATTGTCGTTTGCCATCATCGTTATTATAGTCGTCGTCATCACCGTGATTGTGTTCATTAACCATCATTGTAATGTGCGGTCATTAAGACAGCAACTCCACAGCACAGCGTGGAATAAAGGTATTGGAACCCGGCATCAGCTTCAACGACGACGAAACCCCTGGGTGACCGGGGCAGCCAGGACAGCGCCAAGTCACGCTGTAACCCCACGTCCCTGCTCCAACCTTGTCCGACCATCCCACCCTCATTTCTCGTTGCAGCAACTTCTGGGACGGGAACGTGGTTCTTGAGCATACGATTAAGGAGGGCAACCGGCAGCTCATCACCGTGAGTGTTTTGCTTTGGTGCCTTTGCACGCGTCATGGGAGGGGCTGTTTGCATGCAGAGGAGCCCCCCCCCCTGCCCCCACCCCCACCCTGGTAGAGTAAACGCGAGTAATAAAATACAGCGCACATTTCCTTTCCGTTTCTCTTCTCTCACACCCTTGTCTTCCCTTGGTTTATACTGGTAGGAACCACCTGGTTCCACCAGCCCACAGGGGATTATTGTGTCCGTCCGTCGTGCATCCAAAAATGGGAGGGGTGGGGCTGGGTGGAGAGGGGAGGGTGGGGAGGGACAGGGTGGGGAGGGGCTGGGTGGGGGGCGGGGCTGAGTGGGGAGGGGCTGGTCACCCCGTGGTGCCCTTATAAATCTCAACGTTTAACCTACTCACGCCGGCTTGTGCCCGCCCTCAGTCGGCCATATTTGCGGAATACACCACGCCGCCGTTGACCCTGGCCATTGACCAAGCAACCCAACGTTCCTACCAGCTCCCTCCGCAGCAGGAATGTGTTTCATGCACGTTGCTGTTGGTCGTCTGCATGCTGTGTGCACCACCCAGGTGCTGTGCTATATCCTGCACCTGCTGTTGAAATAATAAATAATGTTAAACCACCCTCCAGCCACCACAAACTTAACAGCGGCTTTCATTTGCCTTCTCAGCTCGACAGCGCCGTGGCCGGTGGAGCAACTGGACGACATGATCACTCGGCTCGAGGGCCTCGTTGAATTCCTGGACAAGGACGCGCAGTTTGCAGGCCCCTCCCTGACCAGGTGTGGTTGGCAGCAGTGGCATTCCTGTCAACCCCTTATCAGTGCTCTAACCTTGTTACAGACCAATTCAGACCTGATTGGTCACCCCGTGCTCCTATAAATCTCAGCGTTTATCCTACAAAGTCCCATCACAAGGGAGAAACGCAAAAAAACGACTATATTTTTTTCCCATATTGAACGGCTGTACGCCATAGGGACCTGAACTCAATTTCCCAGTACAAGAATGCGGGTAAACCGTATGGGTTGCCAGGTATGCAATGGCGAGGTTAAGTTTTTTACGCGCATGTAGTGTGGTGCGTGCGTCCCGTACATTGAACTTTGTTTCGCAACTGCTCGTAGCCCAACCGTGCTAATCGGTTGTCGTCGATGCGAGTGTTTACTCCGCCCAGCATTTACCGCCGCAATTGGTTGACTGATATTTTATTTGAACCAGTTAAGGCCCCTCAGCTATAGATATTGATCTTTTTCAGAAGCGACCTGGCCGCAAATGATAGCTGAATGAAGTCGCTAATCATCACGCGTAAATTTGGAGCAGGCGAATTACTCTAAACGCATGCGTCTGAATCTGGAGGGAAATATCCTCGCGACCACGGGAAGGGAGACACGCAAACTCCAAATATACAGCAGGCGTCAGGGTCGGGATCAAACCCACCCACGACCTCCTGTATACAAGGCAAGATAGTTAATATCTCGCCGCCATGGTTAATTGGGCTTGAGCAGCACAAGTCGTGGTGGCCAGGAGGGACCAGCTTGTCAATTGGTTTATATATCTGCTTCTTAACGTAGGTTTGTTCGAGCCCACTTATGTGTGTGTGTTTGTGTGTTTGTATGTGTACTTGTGTGTGTGCGGTTATGTAGCGGTTAGCACGTTGTGGTAACGAACCTGGCGACTGGAGTTCGATTCCCGCTCACGGCCAACACCTTTGACGATTATTTCAACCGATCTTGGGGCCTCCCCTAGGTCGAACTCACCCTTAAATGAGCACCTGGTACAGTGTGTAAAGTCATTGTCACTGGAAGACAAAGGCGGTTTGAGCGTCGTGTTAGGCCACCCACCCCCTTGTGTCCCATGCCGGCCTTCATAGGTGCTCGCTAACAGCACTTGCCCCTAACAGGAAGCTATATGGGGGGGTCTTTGTCTTGTGCGTGCTCAGTGGTTTCGCCACATCATCGGCCGTGCCCCAGAGGCTGCTGGGATACCCCCGGGTGGACGGTGGTGGAGGGCAGCACCTGCAGCAGGAGATGCAGCGCAAGTACACGGTGGAGGGTGAAGATTTCCCTGACAAAGAAATATAATGATTATTGATCGTAACTTCTTCACGATCATCATCATTTGCCATGTTCAGTCCGCTGCTGGATGAAGGCATCCCGAAGCTGCCACTACCACACATTATCGATTGTGTTTCGGTCAAAGTGAATCGGAACGTACCGAGGGTAAAATGCTCTTCGCTCACAATCGTATATCGCACCATTTTACCCGCCCCACCCAACCAACCCTCCTCCCACCCTCCCAAACCCCCCCTCCCCTCCTAGCTGAGGCGCAGGCACACGAGCGAGCTTCCCTGCAGCAGATGGGCTCGCTGGTGCACCACGTCATCCAGACGCTGGCGCTTTGGAAGCTGCTATGCGAGCACGGCCTGTCCGTCCTCACCGCCGCTCTGCCGCTGGTGAGCGTCTGTTTGCTGGCGGACCAGTCTTTAACGACGTGGTCTAGCGAGGAGCGCTGATGAGTGCCGAGAGCGCGAAACCGGGTCTCGGCTTTTTTTTCCCCAAGCAGTCGCCGACGTAAAGACGTTCGTGTCGTAGGGGGAGTTCGATTTGTTTATTTTTTTAGTGGATAATTGACTTTAATTAAGTAAGTCGTGAAGTAGCAAATTCGCTGCTTGTGTCTGAGCAAGCTATGAAGAGCCGCTTGAGGAACAGAACATATCCAGCTTGAATCATGGACCTCAGTGATGCTGCTGGTTTAATGTCTAGTGCAGCGGTTAACGCGCTGCGTAACGAACCCGGCGACCGAGTTTGATTCACCGGCCACCACCACCACCAGTGACGATTATCTAAACCGATCCTGGGCCTCCCCTAGGTGGACTTGACCTCAAATGAGTACCTGGTGTGATATATAAAACATCGCCACTGGAGAGACAAAGGCGGCCGGGAATGGTACTGGCTACCCACCCCCTCGTGTGCCACCGTGCCGGCCTTCATTGGTGCTCGCTAACAGCACTTACCCTAACAGTCTGTTAAGGCTATACGGGGGGAATCTTTGTCTTTGTAACCTGACAATTAAGAACCCCTTAACGGAGTGTGAGAGGCTCATCGAGTGGTGGCACAGTGGTTCGCGCACCACGCTGCGAACCTGGCGACTTGAGTTCGATTCCCACTCGCGACCAACTTCAATGACTAATATTTTTACCAGTGCTGGGCCTCTCCCGTACGGGCGACTCATCCTTAAATGAGTACAATGTCCAGTCTGTACAAGATGTTTATTTACTCGCTGCATGGCGCTGGAGAGACGAAGGTGGCCGAGAGTGGTGCTGATCACACTACCCAATTGGTGATCACTAAACAGCGCTTCCTTCACGAACCTGTACAAGGCTACAACGGAGGATATTTGTTATTGTTTTATGATCTCACCAAGCCAGTTCTTGGGAGCGCCACACACTCGCCCGTGTGTGTGCGTGCAGGACATACGCGACACCCTGAAGGCCATGAGCCTGCAGGAGCTGGTGCTGCGGGGCGACGCCGTCACTGGCGGCCTCATCACGGCGCTCATCAACCGCTACATTGGCGACTTGGCCTCCACCGACTCCATCAGCCAGCACCTGCGTGCCGCCTGCCCCCTGCTCTACAGCGTCGATGACGTCACCTGCTCCAAGGTGCGAGCGCCGTCGTCATCTGGCGCTCTCCGGACGGAGCCGCGTGGCGGCGGCGGCGATGACAGCGGTGGTGATGCATGACCCCGCGATCCAGCGGGCGAGGGTTGGTGGATTGCGTAGAGATTTGTGAGGCTCCTGAACCCGCTGGTAGTCACGTACCGTATTTTACAGATTCTTCGATGCTCTGGGCAAAGTAGACGCATCCGAAGGTTGTGCCCGTTGTCAAAAAAGTGCAAACTAAACTATAAACTAAACTATTGTTATTTATCTTCTTGGTTCGTTCGGTAAAGTCACGTAGAAGGGAAGTAATAAAATAATAAAAATAAAACATAAAATAATCATCTACGTGACTTTACCGAAAGAACCAAGAAGATGAATCCCTGCAGTCACAAAAGCTTTAAAATCAAAATTTATTGCTTATTTAGCCAGGTAAGGGATCTGGTCACAAATTATAGCTCAACAAAGTGGTTTATTTCGTGGAGATTTATAGCAGCCAAATACTCTAAACGCATGTACGTTATTCTGATGCGCTCGTGAGACGTTTACCATGGTAAAAAATGGGTGAAGGAGCAGCCCTGCAATTGCTTTGCTCGCACCCGCTGCTGCTGAAAGTGCCTCTACTCGAAGATGGAGCAGTCTAGAGGGTGTTTGGCCTACTCGAGGCTTGGGAAGAGTAAGTTACGGGCATATATTACAAATGTAAATGTTTGCGCGCCGAGTGTGAAAAACGATGTAACGAGATCCGTGTGACTGTCCTCGCGACGCAGGCCAACGAGCTGCTGCAGAAGTCGAGGCAGCAGCTGGGCGGCGCGGAGCGCGAGCGAGCGCTGCGCGAATCTCTGCAGCTCTAACCGCCTCATCAGCCACCAGGTGGACCTGCCGCTCGTGTGCAGCCAGTACCGGCACGGTGAGCGAGGCTCCTTGCGTACAACTAAAGTGGAAAAAACTGCTAAAAACTAAACTATTTTTGATATTCTATTGGAACCTCATTTGCCAGTAAAAAATATGATGATTGTTTTTTACCCTTCTATCTGGCAACAAAACTGACACCTTTTTTTACAAGGAGTCTTGTTTGCATAGACCACAATACCTGCAGTCATAATGCAAACAAAAAACACAACTCTGATAATGTGCGCCTTTTGGCGTCATCTGGTCCAACCCATGTGAGACTAGGCTCTAAGGAAAGTTGTTTTCGGGTGTGGACCAATCAACTTCAAGGACAGTGCATACATTATCAGAGTTATGTTTTTTGTTTGCATTATGACCGCAGGTATTGTGGTCTATGCAAACATGACTCCTTGTAAAAAAGGTGTCAGTTTTATTGCCAGATAAAAGGGTAAAAAACCAATGATTATTTCTGATGTTATCAGGTAAGGCCCACTCAGCTATGTGGCTCTCTTTTAGAAGCGACCTGGCCGCAACTGACAGCTCAACGAAGTGGCTGATCATCATGTGGACATTTCTAGCAGCAGGCAAATACTCTAAACGCGTGACATTGATTCTAAATGTGGAGGGACGAAACCGGAGGACCAGGAGCAAAAATCGACACGACCACTTGGAGAACGTGTAAACTCCAAATATACAGGTTTCAGGGTCGGGATCGAACCCGCGTCTGTTTCATACACATGGAAACTTAGCATTGTCAGAATAGAATCTGAATATTTATACTGGAGGAATCCAATGAGCTATCAATTTGTTTTGTTCCAGATATAGTGTAAAAATGTATGTCATAGCTGCTTATGACGACACATTAATTCGGTGGTTGATAATGAGCGAGTGTGTGCACATGTGCGCGTGCAGTGCGGTTCTACGAAGGTGTCCTGGAGCTGTCTCTCGGTGCGGCCGAGAGGATCGACCCGCAGGGTTTGGGCCTCCACTTCTACAAGAACGGGGAGCCCTCCGAGGACGCTCAGGGCCGCCAGGCGTACATGGAACGGTAAGGGGGGACCCCTGCCCCCCTTACTGTGACCTGCCAGCTGGCATTCGACACTCCACGTGCCTTAAAGTGCACATAGCCTGGCACAAGTGCCGTTGTTGTTGTTGTTATATGTGCGTGCCTGTGTGTGGTGCAGGCTGGAGTGCTACCGCTGTGTGACGGACATGCTTCAGGAGCTGGTGCAGGCGTCGCGAGCGCCCGTCCAGTCCCCGAGCGTCCCGTCGCACCCGGGCCCGCCGGCCGCGCCGGCTGACACCAACCCCTTGCCCAGCACGGAGCAGGCCGCACAACACGTGAGGAACAAATACAAAGATCCCCCCTATAGCCTTAACAGACGTTTGGGGCAAGTACTGTTAGCGAGTAGCACCTATGAAGGCCGGCACGGCACATCAGGGAATGGGTGGCCAGCACCACTCCCAACCGCTTTTTTCTCCCCAGTGGCGATGTTTACACACCACACCCGGTACTCGTTTGAAGCTCAGTCGACCTAGGGGGGAGGCCAAGGACCACGTGGGATATTCGTCACTGTGTTTGGCTATGAGTGCTAATCGAACTCGGGTCATAGCCGGGCTTGTAGTGCAGCGCGCTAACCGGTACACTACCAATCCCCTCACAACACATGAGGAACACACACACAAACAATACAAACGTATACCTGCGTGTAAGTGCACAACGACAACAACAGTGACGGTGACGTCCCCACGACACTCGCTGCACTTTGAGGCCACCTGATGCGTCTGAAGGTTTGCTGGCAGGTCACAGGACCCATCCAGGTGTTGTCGGTTTACTGAGATGGACCACCTTTGTTCACCGTTGGAAGCGGCGCACAAACACAGGCAGTGTTTACTTGCACAAAGACAACGTTTACACACAGCACACACGAGCGCACTGCACACGCACACACACCCACTCAACAGCAGTAGCGCTCAGCAATGAGCTGTGGTCACGCGTGATGTGACAGAGCTGGCTGCTGGCCCTCCCTGTCCCCCACTCCTTCCGTGCAGTATGAGCAGATGCTTCGTTTGGCTCAGCGCTGCACAGACGAGCTCTTCCACATCTCCCTCTACGAGTGGCTCGTGGCTGCCGGCCTCCCCGACAAGCTGCTGGAGGTGATGATGATAGTTGTGACCGCGGTGGAGATGATGATGATGATGATGAAGGTGGTGGAGGTGAAAATGATGATGATGCTGGTGCGTGTGATGTTGATGGCGATGATGTTGGAGGCAATGGGGATGGTTGTTGGCGTTGGTAATGATCGCGACGATGACTGGGTTTTTCCCACTGCGGGAACCCCCAAGCCATGCCGCTGACATCGCATACAACGAACAGGTCGTCCCTCGTGTATGGCAACAACAATGATTACCCTACCCCCCACCCCCCTGGCCCTGCTTAGCCTCAAGCCAGATTCAGACATCTTGTGAGGACAAACACATCACAGTTTTATCACAGTTTTGTTATTTGGCTTTGCAAATTTTGGGATTTGTTTTTTTAATGTTATCCAACGTCCCGTCCGGACGTTCTCGTGCAGGTGTCCTCGCCGTACCTGCAGCCGTACCTGGTGCGCATGAGCTCCCTGCAGCAGGACAAGCTCACCTACCTGGACCTGCTGTGGCGTTTCCACCAGAAGTCGGGCGCGTTCGGTGCCGCGGCCCGTGTGCTCGCCCGCCTCTCCGACATGAGCAGGTGCGCCCGCCGCCGCCACCACTACCATCTACTTCTACTTCTCGTTCTCTTCTCCTTCTGACGTACAGCTGATGTAGATGCAGAGCATGATAATACAATTGCACGATTCTGATGATCAAGCCAGATAACCGCATCAGGAGTAGCGGAGTGTATCGCTGTGTGTATGTCGTGTGTATGTTGAACTTATTCTGCACTATGTAGCCAACCATGCTAATTGGAGATGCGGGGGAAGGACAGCCAACTAAACACAAAAAATAACACAGTTATTGGAAAAGGTGTTTTATGCAACTGGCCACAGGCCATTTCTCAATGTGCCTGTAAAGTATAATTCTCCCATTCCGTACCGACTGCTTTTTCTTGCGACGGCACCCCCGGGGGCCCTCTGCCTTCTTGATAATTTTCTCAGCTGATAAGTTTTCGCTCTCTCCCGCACGTTGAACACGCGCAGCACGGAGGTGACGTTACAGCAGCGCATGGAGTACCTCGCCCGCGCCATCCTCAGCGCCAAGAGCTCCCCGACCGTGCCACCCCACGCCGCGGACGGCGAGTTTCTGCACGAGCTGGAGGAGAAGATGGAGGTGAGGAGAAGAGGTGGCGGTTGTGGGCAGCGGTAGTGGTGTTAGCGGTTATAGTCCTGTGCAGTCCTGTGCTGCGCTACGAATCCGGCGACCCGAGTTCGATTGCCGCTCACGACCAATGCCGGTGACGATTATCATCATTGGTCCTGGGCCTCCTCCCTAGGTTGACTCGGCCTTAAATGATTACCTAGTGCCGTGTGTAACCATCGCCATTAAGCAGACAAAAAGGCCCTGGCGTGGTGCTGGCCACCTACCCCCTCTCGTGTGCCACAGTGCCGGCCTTCGTAGGTGCTCACTAACAGCACTTGCCCCAACAGTCTGTTAAGGCTATATGGGGAATCCATCTCTTATTTAATAGTTTTTTGATGCCGGTTCAGAAACACGGTCGTTAACGAAAACTTTTGAACAAATAACTGCAGAAGCAAGGTAGAAGCAACGCTTAGAATTGCGCTGAGAGACGGAGAGAGGAACGAACATATTAGGGAACATACGCAGGTACATTTAATACAATTATAGACTGTTTCGGAAAGCCAAATGGGCTTAGGCAGGACAAATCGCGGATGTGCCATGTGCCTCTTGCGATGTGTTTTTGGCAATTATGCCGGCATTTAACTTCCTGAAGACGCCCGATCGAAACGACAAACATTTTGCCAAACAACACACGCTGCAATCTGAAGATGTTAACGAAGAGCTAAAGCTCTTTGTAACAAATCTCCGATATAATAACTGCAAAAAAATTAGTGAAATTTAGCAATAGTAGGGAACATTGAGAAAGAAGACCGACAAAAGTTGGGTTTGAGATACGTTCATGATGAAGGTTTTTTTCCGGGTTAGATTGCGTAAACATGAACGCGTCGTTAACGCACCACCACTCGACTCAGCCAATTGGTAAGGTTTGTCACGTGAACAAAACGTGCGTATCAGTTACGACTCCAGCACGCCGGTGTGTTGGAGAGTAAAACCACAACATTTACAATTTGAGTATGGTGACGTTTCGCTGGTAATTCCAACCAGCTTCATCGGGCGATTTTTGCCGTAATTGAGATGAATGCGTGCCGGTCACATATGCGTCTCTGTACGTAGGCCTCGGCAAGGCAAGGTAATTTACCCTTTTTACCGGGTACAAGGGTAAAGGTGTCGACATGCCAAGGGGTAAGCTAAAGGGTAGGGTAAAGGTAGCTCGGAAGAATTACCGGTAGGGTAAAGGTAGCGCGAAGTATTACCCGGTAAATACGGTGCCTTGTTTACCGCTAAAAGCTCCGTGGCACTCTACCTATCATTTACCGTTATAAACCTTGTTCATGTGTAGTAGTTCCCTACTAATTACCCTGTAATTGGGTCATTTGTATGGGGTAAGGTAAAAGGTAGGGTAAAAATAGGCTCGTTTTTACCTTTTAACTTTTACCTTACCTTGCCGAGGCCCATCTGTACGTCTGTAAGCGTCCTCTGTGTGGCGTGTGCTGTGCCCTGAGCAGGTAGCGCGGATACAGCTGCAGATCCAAAAGACCCTCGGCAAGAGCTATGGCTCCTATCCCGGCATTGCAGAGGCACTCGGCCAGCTGGACTCTCAACTGATGGACGTCACCAAGGTACACGCACGTGACACGGCAACAGAGCGGCACAGCAAGTGTGCATCTCCTCGCCTCCCATTGGCACGGTGGGCTACGTCCGGTGCGAAAGAAGTTCAACACATTTCGATTTAAAGCTTTCGTGACTGCAGGGATTCATCTTCTTGGTTCTTTCGGTAAAGTCACGTAGAAGGGAAGTAATAAAATAATAAAAATAAAACATAATAAAATAATTCTCACGACGTTTCGGTCACAACGCAAGCAGCCGTCCTCAGGTGAAGAACAGGTCTGTCAGACTCTGTCTTCTCGACAGACCTGGTCTTCACCTGAGGACGGCTGCTTGCGTTGTGGCCGAAACGTCGTCAGAATTATTTTATTATGTTTTCTTTTTATTATTTTATTACTTCCCTTCTACGTGACTTTACCGAAAGAACCAAGAAGAAGTTCAACATACATAACTTAGTCGCACAGAGATCCATAGACTCGCACATTAATCTACCATTTCTTGAGAACTGATTTTTGTGTTTAGTCTGTTGTCCCCCCCCCCCCCGCACCTCCAATTAGCATGGTTGGCTACGTACGGTGCGAAAGAAGTTCTACATACATGCATACTTGACTGCGTGTGTAACTCCCGGTTATCCGTGGGCAGATTTATTATCCCTGTTGGCAATCCATCGTTCTTGTGAAAATATAATATTGAGAACGGGGTATTTATCCCACCATAATCTCTGCCTTTTGCACACCACTGAGGGTGGTTAAAGTCGTTGCTGGACTTTTGTCACGGGAGACTTGTGATCGGTGCAAAAACCCACGACACAACTTTGCGGCGGCCACGTGCGGTGGATTATTTTAGACTGGTCAGCAGGTGGCAGAGGTCGCTCCAGGCGTGCTCATTGTGCGTGAGAGAGAAATGTCGCGGACAGTGAGGCTTGTGCACGGCGGTGGAACACGGAGCAAGCGCCGAAGTGTTCTTGTACACGTGGGTACCGAGAGGCCAGCCGACAAACACGGACTTAGTAATCTTCTTGGTTCTTTCGGTAAAGTCATCACGTAGAAGGGAAATAATATAATAATAAAAATAAAACATAATAAAATAATTCTCACGACGTTTCGGCCACAACGCAAGCAGCCGTCCTCAGGTGAAGACCAGGTCTGTCGGGGAGACAGCGCTGTCGTGAGAATTGTATTTTATTATGTTTTATTATTATATTATTTCTACGTGACTTTACCGAAAAAACCAAGAAGATGAATCCCTGCAGTCACGAAAGCTTTAAATCGAAATTTAACAGACTTAGTAACTCGTGCCTCAGTTACCGATTACTTCATTAAGCAATGAAAACCCACCACACATTCTACAATGACGACATACCACGCATTCCACGTCTTCAACCCCAGGCTATGTGGTGGGTGGGTAAGCAAATACATATTTTTTACGGCTGATTTACATTTGTTTTGATTTTATCTGGGCGACCCCTCCCCATTCAGAAATGTACTGTTAATGTGGCGCTGACTGAATAAGCACTCAAAGTGTGGAGTCAGTGTTTTGACTTGACGGTTGTATTTGACTGCGTCGAATGTGACGTTGCGTTGAATTCCTCATTGCGAAAGTGCGCTCGCGTGTTTGTGTGCGCGTGTGTGCGCGTGTGTGCGCGTGTGTGTGCGTGCGTCTGTGTGTGTGTGTGCGTGTGTGTGTGCGCGTGTGCGTGTGTGTGTGTGCGCGTGCACTTGCACGTCTGTGTCAACAGCTGTACGGGGACTTTGCGGACCCGTACCACCTGTCGGAGTGCAAGCTCGCCATCCTGCACTGCGCCAGCCACGCCGACACCACCCTTGTCCAGACGCTGTGGCGCGACATCGTGGAGAAAGGCAGGAGGAGGATGGGGAGAACGGCACACTCCTACCGCACCACCACCACTCGGGCAAAGGGGGTTGTTAACCGATTATCGATTTTGTGATAATCTGCCCTCCGCTGCTGCTCGCCACGTTGTGCTGCTCCCCGTGGCGTGCCAAAATAATTTCCGGACCTAGTCTCGCGAACTGTTCCGGCTGAAATTAACCACTGCTAATTTAGGAAATCCCTTCTTCCCTCTGGGGCAATCAACAGTCGTTGTCCTGTGGAGAAGGCTCACCTTCCGCGCCACGGTGGCTAGGAGATGTTAACTACCTCGCCTGGAATGCAAGAGGTCGTGGGTTCGATCCCGACCCTGACGTTGCCTGCTGCTGTATATTTGGAGTTTGCGTTTCTCTCTCTCCCCGTGGTTGTCGCGTGGATTTTTCTCCGGGGTCCTCCGGTTTTTTCCCTCCACATTTGGAAACAAGCATTTAGAGTATTTGGCTGCTATGCATTTTCACATGATGATGAGCCACTTCGTTGAACTATAATTTGTGATAGCCAGGTCACTTCTGAAAAAGAGCTAAATAGCTTGGAGGGCCTTGCCTGCTAAAATAAAAAATAGTTTAGTTTTTAGTTTAGAATGTGGAACAACCACTGGTTCAGAGGCAGTCACAGGATTCGACCACCGCTACTGATAATTTGAGCAATAAATCACTGACTTTGGTTTTTACATCGTTCAAATATATATAATAAATGTTACGTACCATATGTTGAACTTCTTTAGCGCCGTACGTAGCCAACCATGCAGTGTTGAGTCTATGTGCAGTGTTGAGTCTATGGTGCAGTGTTGAGTCTGTGGGCAGTGTTGAGTCTATGGGCAGTGTTGAGTCTATGGTGTAGTGTTGAGTCTATGGTGCAGTGTTGAGTCTATGGCCAGTGTTGAGTCTATGGTGCAGTGTTGAGTCTGTGGGCAGTGTTGAGTATGGTGCAGTGTTGAGTCTGTGGGCAGTATTGAGTCTATGGGCAGTATTGAGTCTATGGGCAGTGTTGAGTCTATGGGCAGTGTTGAGTCTATGGTGCAGTGTTGAGTCTATGGTGCAGTGTTGAGTCTATGGTGCAGTGTTGAGTCTATGGGCAGTGTTGAGTCTATGGTGCAGTGTTGAGTCTGTGGGCAGTGTTGAGTCTGTGGGCAGTGTTGAGTCTATGGGCAGTGTTGAGTCTATGGGCAGTGTTGAGTCTATGGGCAGTGTTGAGTCTATGGTGCAGTGTTGAGTCTGGGCAGCGTTGAGTCTGTGGTGCAGTGTTGAGTCTATGGTGCAGTGTTGAGTCTATGGTGCAGTGTTGAGTCTATGGGCAGTGTTGAGTCTATGGGCAGTGTTGAGTCTGTGGGCAGTGTTGAGTCTATGGTGCAGTGGTGAGTCTATGGTGCAGTGTTGAGTCTGTGGTGCAGTGTTGAGTCTATGGGCAGTGTTGAGTCTATGGTGCAGTGTTGAGTCTATGGGCAGTGTTGAGTCTACCCTCCCTGGTCTCCCCCTCTCACCATCTCACTGTCATCTCTGCCCCCCCCTCCCACCCCGTGCTCACAGAGTTGCAGGAGAGTATCTCCCGGAGCCCCACCGACCGCATGCAGCTGCTGAACCAGAAGCTCGTGTCCCTGGGCAAGAGCTACAGCAGCACGCCACAGTACTTCCCGTTGGGTGGGTCCTCCGCACTGCTCGGCAATGTTGTTGTTCTTCTGTGTGTATGTATGTATGTGTGTGCTGTACGTTGAACTTCGTTTGCGGAGGTGCGGGGGGAAGGACGGCAAACTAAACACTAAAAGCAATTCTCAAGAAATGGGTCTTTGTGCGAGTCTATGGATCTCTGTGTGAGTCTATGGATCTCTGTGTGAGTCTATGGATCTCTGTGCAAGTCTATGGGTCTCTGTGAGAGTCTATTGGTCTCTTGTGAGAGTCTATGGGTCTCTGTGTGAGTCTATGGATCTCTGTGCGAGTCTATGGATCTCTTTGTGAGTCTATGGATCTCTGTGTGAGTCTATGGATCTCTGTGTGAGTCTATGGATCTCTGTGTGAGTCTATGGATCTCTGTGTGAGTCTATGGATTTCTGTGTGAGTCTATGGATCTCTGTGCGAGTCTATGGATCTCTGTGCGAGTCTATGGATCTCTGTGCGAGTCTATGGATCCCTGTGCGAGTCTATGGATCTCTGTGTGAGTCTATGGATCTCTGTGTGAGTCTATGGATCTCTGTGTGAGTCTGGATCTCTGTGTGAGTCTATGGATCTCTGTGTTGGTCTATGGATCTCTGTGTGAGTCTATGGATCTCTGTGCGAGTCTATGGATCTCTGTGCGAGTCTATGGATCTCTGTGCGAGTCTATGGATCTCTGTGCGAGTCTATGGATCTCTGTGCGAGTCTATGGGTCTCTGTGAGAGTCTATGGGTCTCTGTGAGAGTCTATGGGTCTCTGTGAGAGTCTATGGGTCTCTGTGCGAGTCTATGGATCTCTGTGCGAGTCTATGGATCTCTGTGCGAGTCTATGGATCTCTGTGCGAGTCTATGGGTCTCTGTGTGAGTCTATGGATCTCTGTTAGTCTATGTATGTGGAACTGCTTTTGCACCGTACGTAGTCAACCTAAACACACGAAGCAGTTCTAAAGAAATGAGTTAAAGGTGCATAACTCCAGTGGCTTGATGATGATGATGATATGATGGTAATGGTGGTCATGGTGATGATGTGATGGTGATGGTTTGTATATATATATTGAACTTCTTTTGCACCGTACATAGCCAACCGTGCTGATCGGATGTGCGGGGGGGGGGGGGGAATCCTTCGTCTTTGTGCCGCAGAGTTCCTGGTGCTGACGCTGGAGCAGCACGTGTGCACGCTGGGCTGGGACGAGGGCTTCGTGCCGCACACGCTGCTGCAGGTCGGCGCGGACCTGCCGCTGCTGCTGCACACCTACGACAAGGTCTTCCGCACCAAGGTGACACAAGGGGGCGTTGCGCGGGGTTTCTCATCGCGGTAACCGAGACGGCCCACGGTGACGCCCTGGTTTGTTCTGTGTTTGTGGGTGTTTTCAAGCAGGGACAGCCCTGGTTAAAACGGTGTGGGTCAGAGGTCGCAAACGGGTTTTGATTCCTTACCCGTACCCGTACCCGGCCGTACCAGGGTCGCAAACGGGTACCCGTACCCTACCCAATACCCGGCCGGGTACGGGTAGGGTACGGGTATCGGGTACCCGATTGCAACCTCTGGGATGAAGCCATGTAGCAGGCGCGGGTGGGTTGATTCTAGGAACTTGAATTGTGAGAAGAGACAAGACGTTGGGAAATGAGTGACAAACGGTTACTCACCAGTGACTCACGGCCTACCCGTACCCGGCCGCACCAGGGTCACAAACGGGTACGGGTACCCGTACCCAGCCGGGTACGGGTAGCTGGGTATCGGGTAGGGTACGGGTATCGGGTACCCGGTTGCGACCTCTGGTGTGGGTGTTGTTCGCCACGGTGCCGCCCCTGGTTGATACGGTGTTGTGGGTGTTTTTAAGCAGGGACCGCCCTGGTTAATACTGTGTGGGTGTTATTAACCACAGCGGTGTGTGGATATTCACGTGCCGTCTGCTTTGCGCTGGACGTCAAACGGTCTCCCGTGATGGCGTTGGAACTTGGTGATTGCGGTGCACCTCCCATTTATCACAGTTTGGCTACGTGCGGTGCGAAAGACGTTCAGCGTACATATGTACGTACAAGAGAATAGTTCAGGTGTGCCGGTTGTCACGGTTCAAATTAGAGATGTTAACTATAACCTTACCTGGCATACAAGAGGTTGTGGGTTCGATCCTGACCGTGACGATGCCTGCTGTATATTTGGAGTTTGCATGTCTCTTTCCGTGGTCGCGTGGATTTTTCTAAGGGTCCTCAGATTTTTCCCTCCACATTCGGAATAAACATCACGCGTTTAGAATATTTGGTCGCTGTAAATTTCCATGTGACGATAAGCCACTTGGTCGAGCGATCATTTGTGATGGCCAGGTCGCTTCTGACAAAGAGCTACTATATAGCGGAGTGGGCCTTACCTGGTAAAAAAAAAATTAACCCGTAAAAACAAAGTTTTTCACTATAAATCCTTTATATGCGTGGCGGCTAGAGTCCTCTCGTCCTCTGGCTTGAGATGGCTGCCACCTATGGGTCAGATGATTGCCTGCCACCATTAAGCAATTGGTAATTAAATATAAAAAAAATTTCCCTAAAAAGTGTAAAGTTATGGAAATTTGTTTTCACGAAAATTAATTGTCACACACAACGAGTCTGTGTGCAAAATGTCAGCTCGATTGGATCACGGGAAGTAGGTTAAAAAACGACCGAAAAATTTGCACGGTTGTAAGCGCGCAAGCAAGCAAGCACGCAAGTGAACTTAATATAAAGCATTTAAAAATAGTGTTTAGTTTGCGCTACGCGGGAGATCTTATCTTTGCGCGTGCGATCGTGTTGGTGGCTGCACAGGACACGTGCTGGTACCGGCTCCGACAGCCGCTGCACCTGCTGCATTCAATCCGCTCCATCCTCAACAAGTACCTTCAGCAGCCGGAGACCGTGCCGCCCAGTGAAAGGTGCGTCAGCCGCCGCGCGGTTGTTCCGTCGTCGCGGGGGGGGGGGGGGGCGTTGGCGGCCTACCGTGTGCTGCGTGTGGAGACTCGCGTACGCGTCTTGTGTTGCGTTTTAGTACGCGCGCGCGTTGTGTGTACAGTCTGTTCTTCGGTAACGCGTTGCGAAAGAAGTTCAACCTTCCTACATACGTACGTGCTTGTACCCGTCTTCCCGTTGGAAATGTGACAAACGGCGGCATTATTCTCGTGCATGGGATACAACGCCGTGTACGGGACACAGAGGCCGTAGCAGGACACGACATTGCTCGTTTACGATTCAACGCCCAGCCGTCGCCTTAACGTTGGGGGCGCGGGTCGTTGCAGACGGTTGTTCACCAACACCTGCCTGGACCTGATGGCCGACTACCTGATGGAGCTGAAGACCATGGAGCAGAGTCTGGAGCTGCAGCAGACCGTGGGGAGCTTCCGCTCGCTGCAGGCCAAACTCGAGAGGCTGCTCTGAAGGCCCCCCCCCCCCGCACCGGCTCCTCGGCTGCGCGGCACCAACTACTGCCGCCGCTACCCGCTCACCCGAGTGCCCGCTGCCTCAATCCGTTTCTTGTCAGAACCTTCACCGTCGGTCGCCGTGTGCGTCTCGGTCATCTGCAGCGGCCGGTTCTTGACCACAGGGCCCCGCTGTGGACAACTTTGCCCGAGATAACCGTCGGATTTTGTCGCACGCGGCACACGCGGAAGGAAGATGGGGTTGCCTCCGCCTGTTTCTGCTCGTGCTGGAACGGGCGGGGGGGTGGGTGGACAGACCTTTGGTGCTGTTTGTTTTTATGGACGTTTTGAGATTTTCTAATTGTTGGATGTGAGTGAATGACAAATAAATGAATGCGTGATTAACTGGAGCAGGTGAGAGATGAAGCATTGCTCTTTTGAATCTTTTTTTTTCCTTTGTAAGAGACTCCGTCCTTGGTCGTACAAAATATCCCACTATTGAGAACATTGGCCAGCAGCAATAGCAGCTCCCGGCCTTGAGCACCGTTGAGTGTAAGTTGGTGTTGCTGCTGTTATCGAGGATTAAGGCTTAAAATTCCCCTGTCGTTACAGTCGAATGCGAACACGCGAAGATATGATTGGGACAAAACGAGCGGGCGAGCGAGCGATGCCTGTTCTGAAGGAGTCGGGCCAGACGCGGTGGTGTTGCTTTTGGTTGCCATTTGCCCCTGGCCCAGTGCCGGACTAAGCTAGTGTGGGGCCTGTAGCAGATGTTAGAAAGGGGCACTAAATAAGAAACATTAAAACACATTTTTAACTTGCATGGTGAAGTAATTGTATTTTTTCATTTGCTGTACGGCCAGATAATACGACAAATCGCGAACCTTAAACACCCAGTCGTTCATAAAAGTTGAAGGCGGTATAGTACTATAGTAATAGTGCAAGTGCAGAATCACTGAACCGAAATTGAAAGCTTGAAATCATTTAGCGCGGGGCCCTTGAAAGTGCGGGTTCCGTCGCATGTACAGCTACTGACCCTGGCACAACAAATATAAACTGCCCCCCCCCCCCCGTGTCTTAATTTTATCCTCTACCGCTCTGCATAGCTGGTGCAGTGGGGGAGATCCCCCCCTCCCCGCTCGTTTGTGTGTGTACCAATGATGAATGAAAGTACTCTGAGCTGCCGACGGCTTGCTACTGTCGTGCCGTTTTGCAACGCGGTGTTTTTTAAGTCTCTCGCATATTTTGGAGTTCTCCAGTGGAATGATTTCGACACGTGATGTGTGGGGGTTTTCTTTTGGCACGTGATGTTTTGCCTTGGTGGCGGTGAAGTGTTTCTGGATTCCCACATGCGCCTGTGGAACATAGATCTACCATCATTGTTTGGATTATAAGATACTCTGCAAAGTAAGACCCTGCACCCTTAAACGTCTGCTCGGTATCAATAAAGTTGTACAAATACACCCACGTAACCTGCCCCCCATTTTGTTTGCATTCAAACGGGGTAGTGGGGGGGGAGAAACGCATCTCATGATCTGCAGAATTCGGTCGTCGGTGTATTTATGTGCAACAAGATCGTCCGTTTCATATTACCTGTAAAGCCCTTTGCACGCTCTTTGTTTTTTGCTAAACAAATTTGTGTTGTCGACACAACATTAGTCGGATTGTTGAATTAAACAAAGGTCGGAATGGCAAACGCCTCGTCCACGAGTCGCGCCTTTGTGGGCGACGGCAGTGGCCACCCGGATGTTTCTGGAGACACCCAGAGCCGATTGCCACGTGGAGGAGGTGGGGAGGGGAGGCCCTGATTGACGAATGCCAAGATCAAGCCCATTGTAGGGGCTTGATCGGATGATCGCCTGTAGCCCCTGAAGTGCGTGTTAAACCCAAAAGGTTTAAGCCAGTTGAGAGGTTTCTCAAACGCTGCGTGATCACATTCGGCTGACCCAGTTGCAGTGGGTCGACTGGCTGAGGTGACTGACAAGATGCATCAGCTGTTGCCCCCCCCCCCCCTGCGGTGCCAACTTGCTGTGTTTTAGTCGCCCGGAGCAACCGCTCGTTGTGAGCGTCATTCCTCCGCTCTCCATTGTTGTTGAAGGGCGACTGCCTCCCAACTACCCAGTAACCTCAAAAGTGCACCTAGCCTGGCACTGACCAATAGTGTCCTAAACGAGCCGCTTCCTCCACAGAGGGCCGATCTTGACACTGCTGGTACCAGTCATCAGCAAGTCCATGGGGCTCCTGTGCCGTCGATTAGCACGGTTGGCTACGTACGGTGTGAAAGAAGTTCAACGTACAAACTAAACTTTATTTTACCAGGTTAAGTCCGTGGAGCTACATCGTTATTTTTCGTGAAGCGAACTGCCCGCACATGATAAGCTAAACGAAGTGGCTTATGTGGAAATGTATAGCAGCAAAATACTCTCTAAACGCATGTTTCTAAATGTGGAGGGAAACCCTGGAGGACCCGGAGAAAAATATCCGTGACCACGAGAAGAGAGACACGCAAACTCCAAGAATATATTCTTAGGTTTTTTTCGGTAAAGTCACGTAGGTAAAAATTTAAATTAAAAATGATTAAAAAAATAAAATAAAAATGACGTTTCGGAGGCAACACAAGCTTGTGTTGCCTCCGAAACGTCGTGATTTTTACTTTTATTAATTTAAATGTTTTACCTACGTGACTTTACCGAAAAAACCTAAGAATATGAATCCTTACAGTCACGAAAGCTTCAAATCTAGAATCCAAGTATATCAAGCGGGCTTCGGGCTCGGGATCGAACCGTCATCCTCCCTCGCCACCGTGGCGCCAAATGTTGTTCTGGAAAGCCAACAAACAGCCTTCTTCTGGGCTAAACCTTTCGTATCTGTGTCGAGACGGAATGTGTCATTAATTCGGGTTTCTAGGCTTCTGCGGGAACGTAACGTTATCAGCTGGAGCCAGTAGAGCAAATCGCGTTGCGCTGTACAACTTCGGTTACTCGCCTCCACCAGCCCACACTGACCCGGCCGTGGCGAAGTGAGAGTCAAAAAAATTAACCCGTAAAAACAAAGTTTTTCACTATAAATCCTTTATATGCGTGGCGGCTAGAGTCCTCTCGTCCTCTGGCTTGAGATGGCTGCCACCTATGGGTCAGATGATTGCCTGGCACCATTAAGCAATGGGTAATTAAATATAAAAAAAAATCCTAAAATGTGTAAAATTTTGCTAAAATTTTTTCACGAAAATAAATTGTCAAGCACAACGAGTCTGTGTGCAAAATGTCAGCTCGATTGGATCACGGGAAGTGGGTTGAAAAACGACCGAAAGATTTGCACGGCCCTAAGCAAGCAAGCAAGTGAACTTAATATAAAGGATTTAAAAAAAGGCCTCGGCCAGCAATGGATTTACGAGGGTCTGTACGTGCACGTGTAAGACCCAACCCAAGTTGGACTTTGTCGGGTCTTCGCGGATTTGTATCCAGGGTAACGAGAGAGGCAATTCGGTATTTATATTGGGAGGGGTTGGGAGGGCAAAATGCAACTCCATTAAAATCTGCGCGACTCGTTTTCGATCATTAATAAGTGAGCGTGTGATGGACTCGAGGCATGACGCTAATTTTGTGATTGTTGAACATTTTTGTTTAAAAAAAATTGGCAGCACTGGTAGCCGGGCTTTAAAAAAAAACCCAAACAGAATCGCCAAACGATACGTTTCCCTCGCGTCACTGCGTCTCCAAGTTTAAATAAAGACCCCCCCCCACACACACAACCAAGTAGAACCCCACCCCTCCTACCTCTTAATCACGGTCGTTGAGTGATTTGGTCGTTAAGCGAGTGTCGGGAATGCGCAGGTTAAAGGCCTAATTCGTTCCGATAGCATCGAAAAAGATACTAATAACATTATGAACACAACATGAAAAGAAACTCGGGTAATGAATGGATTAATTAATATTTACTGTACCTACAACAGCCCGTCGTTAACAGGGGAATGGTCGTTAAGCGAACATATAGGGCTCTATGGAGGCACTACACTACTGTACAATACACTATACACTGCACTTTACACTACACTACTATACACTACACTGCTTTACACTACAGTACTATACACTACACTACTATAGATTACGATACACTACACTATACACTATACAATACATTACTATACACTACACTGCTATACACTACACTCCTATACACTGCTATACACTACACTATACACTACTATACACTACACTATACACTACTATACACTACACTACTATACACTACACTACTATACACTATACTATATACTCCACTATACACTACACTACTATACACTACACTACTATACACTACACTACTATATACTACACTACTATACACTACACTATACACTACACTATACACTACACTACTATACACTACACTACTATACACTACACTACTATACACTACACTGCTATACTATATACTCTACTATACACTACACATTTGGGCTCTATGGAGGCCCGTCGTTAAGCGGATTAGTCGTTAACAGGGGTGGTCGTTATGAGAGGTCATACTACTGCATCTTAACAACCCATCAGCGCCACGACCACCTTCGGAGTGAACCACTCTCGGCAGCGTCGATTCAGCTCCAAGAAGTCAAACGGCGGCGGACCGGTCCCGACACACGCGCGTGTCTGATCGATAGGTCAGACTCGGCTCGATTTCAGTCCTGCTGGAAGCTGCCAGATTTGTCGGTGGCCAAAGGGAAGGGCTCACACGCCCTGAGATACGTAGTAGTCGTCGTGGCAATCTTTACTCAAAGTGTTCGTAACTCGATGCCAGCCGCGCCACGAACGGGCTGCGTGCCGATGAAAGCACCCTCCGGGGCTCCGGCGTGTCGGTTCGCTCGCTCGTCTTGATTTGAACAAGCCCACCGGTGGTTGAGCCTGAACGTTGACGATGCCGTGCGCGACACGCAACTCTGTTGACGATCCGTGGGGCCGCGTTAAAAGTGTCTCCCGCTCCGACGGGCTTCATCGCGGCTCGGAGCCCATCCGTTTACCTCCCTGAGCTGGAGGTGACATTTCTGAATCTCTTGGATGACCTCGGCACCCATCACACACTGGACATCTGTTAGGGGGGCGGGGAGGGAGAAGAGCTTCATAGCTCATCGGATTCCTCGGGTCTCAATTAAAATTCTGATTCTATGGAGGAGGGGGGCATTGGCGAATCTCCCCAATAGATGGAACAACCGTTGTTGACTTCCGCAAAAGTAGCGCTTAAAAATGAAACTTGTTTATTTTACCAGGTAAAGCCCACTGGGCTATACAGCTTTATTTTTATTTTCCAGAAGCGAGCTGGCCGCATGTGACAGCCCAATGAAGTGGCTTATCGTGTGGACATTTATAGCAGCCAAATACTCGAACTGCATGTTTCTAAATGTGGAGGGAAAACCCGGAGTGTCTGGCGCAAAGTCCACGCGACCACGGAGAGAGAGAGACAGACACGCAAACTCCAACTACACAGCAGGCGTCAGGGTCGAGATCAAACCCACGACCTCCTGTATCCCGGGCGAGGTAGTTGACATCTCACCACGAGGAGAGAGAGAGAGAGAGATAGAGACGCAGACTGCAAATATACAGCAGCAGGCGTCAGGGTCGGGCTCGAACCCACGACGTCCTGTATCCCGGGCGAGGTAGTTGACATCTCACCACTGCGGCGCCCAATTTTATTTGACCGAACACGGGAAGGATGGTGGCATCCCTCTATTCTTCCATTGTTTTAACTTGCAGCTGGGACAATCCGCGACGTCAATTACGGGAACTGGGAAATTCAACTCGACCGGAATATGTTGTTTGTGTGTGTGTGCGTGCTTGATTGTTATGCCGTCATTGGTAAGCGAAGCTGAGATCACCACCAACTCGCCGTAACCTTGACAGAACGGATTAGTCGCGGGTGGCCGAAACCCGGATCCTGATCCAGGATCTTAACCTCGGTGGGTTGGTTTGGTTTTTGCACCCACGCTTTATGACCCCTCTCCTGAGCCACCGATGTCGCAGCAGTAGCTAGGAGATGTTAACTACCCCGCCTGGTGTACAGGAGGTCGTGGGTACGATCCCGACCCTGACCTATGCCTGCTGCTGTATATTTGGAGTTTGCGTGTCTCCCTCTCTCCCATCATCATCACGGTGGCTAGGAGATGTTAACTCCCTCGCCTGGTGTACAGGAGGTCGTGGATTCGATCCCGAACCTGACGATGCCTGCTGCTGTATATTTGGAGTTTGCGTGTCTCTCTCTCTCTCATCATCATCACGGTGGCTAGGGGATGTTAACTACCTCGCCTGGTGTACAGGAGGTCGTGGGTACGATCCCGACCCTGACGATGCCTGCTGCTGTATATTTGGAGTTTGCGTGTCTCTTTCTCATCATCATCACGGTGGCTAGGAGATGTTAACTACCCCGCCTGGTGTACAGGAGGTCGTGGGTTCGATCCCGACCCTGACGATGCCTGC